GAGAGTTTGGCCGAGAGTTGTCTCCTTCCTTTTCTGGACTAGTGCTGTTCTTTTCTACTTTGCGTCGGTTAAGCTAAAGGTCACATAGCTAGAGAAACTAAACGAAATATAATAAGTCGAAACTAACCGAGCGGATCGCGATTTCGATCTTCTTGGGTCTCGTCAGCACGTCGTAGACCATGCCATTTGTAGTAATGCATAAAACAATGTTTAAAGGTAGAGTTGCTTTGTGTTCTGTTGCGACCACTACATGAACTTTTTGTTCTGTTTGGTTAGGTGCCTATCATGATACTAACACCGTTTAACAAGGTATGCTCAACCGCATACAGTTTTTTCTCTGTCTCACCAACTGCGACGTCAGTATGTGACAAACTGCTTATACAGTAAAAGCTCTTTATACGCGGGTGTGCGTTCCATAAATATGCCGCGAATACAGAAACCGTGGATATGGAATGGTAATTAGTATGGAATCATAGGGGATACGTTCCAAAATAAAACCAATATGTATCTAAATAAAATCAATGTGTTGATAAATTCGCAATTAAAATTAATCGTTGTAATTAGCTTTAGGCAAGAGTTTAAAAAATTTAGTGATTTCGTCTTGTTTTGAATTTTGAAATTAGTCCACTCGGTTACATCTTTTATAAAATTCGCTTCGGCACGAGCCAACAGTACTCACTGATGCGTTGAAAAATAACACCGAATCCTTTTCTACTCGGTTAGATTTTTTATAAAAGCTGCTTCGGTACGTACCAACTGTACATACTCAAAAGATGCCGTTAGACTCAGTAGTACACGCGCCATAGGGTAAAAAAATGCTTATCGGTTCTAGATATCAAAAGTTTAATATTTGGAACAGAGGTTTGAAATTTTGTAGTAAGATAGATAAAGCTTTGTTCTAAAGCCTGTCGAAGGCTATTTTTTAATTTCTGTTATAAATACGTATCCTACAAAAAGCGTCAACTTTAAGCACTTATTGTAAAAGCTTTTAATGACCATATTATTGAAAATCATAAACGTACCGAGTTAATTTGAACCTTTATCTGTTACCATACAAAAAATTAGATATTTATCTCGCAGCGTTAAATCACGTTTAGAATAGAAACCCATGTTTTCAGAAAAATTCACACTAGGCACGAGCGGTCTATTGCGGTCAATCCTCTTAATAAATAGCACCAAATCCTTTTCTGTTTACCAATTGCAACCGGGAATAATGAAATTTTTAACCGCAAATACAGAAACAAGGTTACAATTTTTTCACCCGCGAATAATGAAAACACGAATAAGGAAACCGTGAATAAGGAACTTTTACAGTATTGTACATAATGCTAGGGATGTCTAATTAGTTGTTTGTTATCTCGTTTTGAATTTGTTTTGATATTTTATAAAATCTCAATTCTGCGCGATTTTTTTTTAAGGGATAGTTTTACGAATTAATAAACAACGGTTTGTTTCAACATGTTCTGCGAATGGTAATTGAGTAAAGTGTTTTATTTTGACTTTGGTTTGGTGTTCTTTGATTCGTTGGGTAAGAGTTCTTTCGGTTTCATCTGTATAAATTCTTCTACAAAAGCATCGAGTCTTGCAAACTCCTTGTTTTTTCAGGACCTATTTAATTGTTTCGGCAGTTTTAGTATTTTTGGAATATTGCTTTTGTTTTCGTCTAAATGGTTTTATAAATCTTTAAATAAGGATGTAGATATACATGTGTGTTCTCGTCGATGTGTGATTAATAAATACAATTAACTATATATAAACAATGGAACGACCACGTTGAAAAGTTGATATAACTACTCTGTGACCTGGCCTTTCGCGTAGTAATATGTGCGGTATCAGATGTGCGGTATCAGTTGGTGAATTTTTAGCTTGCATCTTTTGTTTATCGGGTTTTGTTGATATGATGATTTATTGTTGACTTATCAACTAAACCATTATGGCGATGAATTCACTCCTTGAATCCAATTGTTCAACTTCTCCAAATCTTGGACTATTGTTTGCGTATGTGAATTGACTTCTGCCTACAATCGTCGGGATTACTCTTTGACATTCCTTTATTTACATTCAATTAATAAAATCAATTTGTGATTGACACAATGGGATGCCTAAAAACACATCCGAAAATTAAAGATTGAATTCAACTGACGCAAATCCTCGTTCAGTGACTTGAAGAAAGACACTTATTAGATTCAAGGGGTGCATCCCACCCACATACTGGTTTATGGATAGGAAGCTCAAAGTTAGTCAGGAAACTGTAAGCCTTCATATGAACAAAACAGGGTAAAAAGGGAATCAATCCAGAACTTCACCTTCACACATTGTTGTACGGAAAGTCAGGTCACAACTTTGTTTTATCAACTTTTGAACGTATCATTGTTTACATTCAATTAATTTTTCAATTACACACCATTGAGGACATTGTTTTCCGATCGATTAAATACATTTAATGTAGGATATGGCTTGAAACCAGTGAGTTATTTGATTTTGAAATCGCCCATTTGTTCCACCCATAATGCGGTTTTAACACAAAATTGAACACTGTCACCCAGAGCCGAGAACGTAAGTCAGGTCTGCCCTACTGAAGAATACTGCGAAGCTCACGAAAATGTTGCAGAAAATACAGAAATACAAAACCTTGACAGATCGAACATAATAATATGAGTAACTTACACATTCGTAAGTAGATAGGCTTGAATAGGTGTGACAAGAAAATAAATAATGCTTCAGATCATTACAGCTTACAGCCGAAGTAGTGGCAGTAAAAAAAACCGAATTGGTTATCATCTGCATCATTTATCCGCTTGCAGGATTTTACGCAAATTCGCCTATTTATTGATTACTCCTGCGACTAGAAATTCACGTTGCATTTATATGTAAATAGAAATACATTTAAAATCGACAAATTTAGAAAAAATAGCAAAAGTTTAGCATTTTTGCAGTGTCCTTAAACAAACGAACCAATTAAAATTGCAAGATTCCATGATAAGTAATTATTGAAAATTAATGAATTAGTTAATATGTTATGCTGTTACATAACTTGCGAATTGAGCTTCTCTTAGGTCTAGCAGGTTTATATACTTGCATGCGAGCTGTTCGAAAATTTAGAAATCAAAAGTTTATCTATCCGTCCAAGTTTTAGTAACCTACATTAAGATGGCATGTTGAGTATACATAGCGAATAAGTTTGTCTTCAAGAAAATCTATTCTCTCGTGAACCCGTGACCTGTAGTAGTTAGAATTTCGTCGCTTTTCGAATAATTTTCAATTCGTTAAATTGTTATAACTGTAACTTTTTTCCTTCAATTCCTTTATAATTTGTAATCTTAAAGGGCTGTTCATAAATTCATAAGTTTTTGATCCCTCTCTGCGATGGGTGGCTGCACGTAATAGGAACCTACCGCTCAACCTGATCCTGCCCACCAACCCCATTCCGTTACGTAACCATAAAAGTTTTGGATTTAATTAAAAGTAGGATAAATACGCCGATTCTGAATCAGGAAGAGAGAGGGAACAACATGTGATTGTAGAGTCTATTTAAATTTGTTAGAATTGTGACCTTGAAGATAGAAAGAATACACACTAGGCGTGAGCAAGACAGAAATAGTTGGAACAAGCGTGAACGAGCAGAGCTCTCGATGGGCGGTCTTAGGAGATCGGCTAGAACTGTACAATACTAGAGGAAAATGTTTATCAATTTCTTAAAACAAAAATGTATATAAATTAACAATAGAAAACAAAGTAAAAGTTTTAAAGGTGTGTAGAACGTTAAGTTAATTCACTTTTTATTACTTTTGGCTAAATATGCTTTCAAATAAAACATATTCTTAAATTTTAACGAGGCAATTTAAACAATTTTCCAAATGGTACTGTACACTTTTTTCTAGTTATCGCTCGATAATCGGGGGAAAAATGAGCTCCGCAGACTAATATGATTGAATTTGAAATTATGCTACGGCTATCCTAATAAAGGGAAGGGGCATATCTCTAATTTATTTAAACGAACAGTATTTTGCATTTTCCCCCTAATAAGAATCGATTGAGAAAGGGTGAGGAACAACATCTTTCCATTGTCACACAAAATAGTATTTGTTATTAACCTTGACCTTGAACTGTATTTTTTCCTCTGAATCAGAATTAACTAAGTGTCAACTACTTTTATTTACTCCTTAACGAGTACCTGGCATGTTTTTAATGATTATGTATACAAAAATGGTAATTTTAATGTAGTCTAATATGACAATGTAAAGACGTTGCTCCTCACTTTTTAATCGATTTTAAATAGGGGTAAAATAAGTTATAGTTGAAGGTCAAGTCCAACTAAAAAATGCTGTTAATCTCCTGATTCAGAATCGGCTTATTTACCCTACTAGTAAGATTTTTTAATAATCATTCGCTTTCATATGAGCAATTACAGTTTTTAATACACCTAAAAATGTGGTGTCACTTTGTTAAACAAGGGAAATTCCTTTAAAAAATGATACCTTGATACCCCTTGATTTGTGGGCAGCCCTTAAGTAGGTTTATATCTGGTAAATGTAATAGGAGTTCCTAAAAAGGTGATTAAAAGTAAAAACACAGCAATTGTCTGGTAGTTTGATAGTGCTTTATACTAGGTATTAGATAAAAGCACTAAATCCAATACTGAATAGCCAGTAAAATATTAAACAAAAAAGTAATATAGTTTACCAGTAAGAATTACAATAGGTTCAAGTAAGTTTGTTATTTATTTGACGAGCAATTCAACGACAAAATATTCTTCAGCATGTGGAATGAATCTAATACCTATCGATTCGTAGCTGCTTACAGTAAATTAGTAGTTCATTCCGGAAAGGGTTATGAATTAATGAAGTCCTTAGATTATTTGGGTGTACTTAATATTAAAGCTGATTTGGTGAAATAGGCGCTTAATGAGCCGGTTCAAGATCAATGAGATTCAGTCGTGAAATCAAAGCGAGTGGGCTTTTCTCAATTACTGTGACTAACTCGAATTATTTAAATTATAGAACTAAGGATTCCCTGCCCTGAAAAGCCCTTTTCACAACTATCCACAAACTCACAGACAGCAGGTATGCTTTAATTTGACTCGTTTTGTGTTCAGTATGTGTTATTAAACTGATAATAAAAATCAACACCATTTGAATGTCGTTCTTCTTCGTACTCAACAATTATTACCAGTACATTGGCCAGTCAAATGCATATGTTCCTTAGGGTGATTCAAAATTTTGTTTTTATTATTTCTCAAACAAATTTAAAGGAAAAATTTCTGACACTTTTTCCTCAGATTTAATTTGTATTTGTAAAATCGTTATAGATGTTGCCGGAAATGTATGAAATCCGTCATTGTGTACATTTTCTAGAAAATATATATAATTCTTAAAATCGGCCGGAAATGTGTGAAATAAATTATATTAGACACATTTCCTAAGAAATCTATACGTTTTCTAAATAGCAATCGGAAATGTATTACAGATAATACTAAATAGGCAATAATACGGCAGGATGTTTAGAGATGTACCTATATCCATTGGTGACGTCATTGTTTGGTTAGGGAGATTTATGACAGACTGGAGTTTTTCTAATGCTCATGCCCGCCGGAGGCAAGCTGATATGTTAACTGTAAGAATAATGTGACGAGGTTATCTTTGTATCAGCAAACACGATGACCCTGAATTTTTAATATGTTGTAGAGGTGATAAAGTTGATCATTTTCATATATAAATATGTTGGACGTGAAGATCATATCGAAGCATACTTTTCGAAGACATTATTGTAACATATCAGGGGTATTTTAGAAATTCCAGTCTGTCATAAGTCTACCTAATAGCTATACAATAACGTCACTAATGCATATACATCTCCAAACCTAACCTAACCAAGCAATAACGTCACCAATGCATATACACTAGGCGATCGCACTAGAACCGCGTAAACACAGATAACTCTGATTATCAGTTTACTAACGTGTTTTATTCATTTTATTCACAGAAAGCATTATTTTTATACATTTCCTAGTGCAATGTCGGAATTTCATACAATTCCTAGGAAATGTGTACATTTCCCAAGATATGTACATATTAATAAAATCTTTGAAACAATATTTTATACATTTCGTAGGAATTATATATACAAAAGGGACTTTTTCATGATTCTTTACGTAGAATCCTACAGCGTTATTATTCTTCTTTCAGAATAGCAACTTCTCTACCAATTTATTTACATAATTTTGTTGAAGCAAATACAACTGGTAAACCAAAAGACTTGAGGCTACATCTATAGAAAATTTTACGCTTTTTTAATGGACTTGGTCTCGAGATATTTAGTTGAAAATGTCTAGTGTAGTATTCTTTTCGTACATACAAATAAAAAGTAAATATCAATATTATGAACTCTGTTTGGATCAGAGTTCTTCTTATACGTACTTACAATTATTAAACATGTGTTTGAAAAGAAAATTAAAAAATTTTCAATCACCCTAATGTACCTATCCTTGAAGTAAATGCAAAAAAATTCTACATGTTTGAAAATAACCAAACTTAAAGCCAAGTTATTTTTCTTATTGTAAACAATAAAAATAATTAGTGTTAATTGCAAAAATAATATTAGTTATGCCAATAAAATAGTAATAATCAGTAGAATCCAATTTTGGTCTAGACCATTTTATTTTTCATTTTCTTAATAATTCGATATGGACTCGTTAAAACTGTAAAAAGTTTTTCAACAGGTCATAGTAAGTACATTAAAAATTCAAATTTTATAATTTTGAATTATTCCGCACATTTGTCACTTTTTTGAAAATGTTCAATTGCCTGTATTATTAGACATGCATGGTATACCATTTAATTAATTTACGTTCACACAATTTCAATTTCTTTGTGTTAATAAATAAATAATTACCTGTAGGGTGGAACTTTCTACTGGAATAAGCTCAGTAAAAAATGAATGACTGATTAAAATTCTTGCGCAAGTCAATTTTATATTTTAACACAGCATTTTGACGTGACAACGTCTTATAATTCGATGAATCCGGCTGCACGCACGAAAAAACATGACTCATGCGGCGTTATCTTGCTCTAAGGCGTTCCATTTAAGGCTTGAAGTGCAAGCGAGAGCGCGGAACGAGCGACAAAGAGGCACAATCGGCCTCCGCGTTCGGCAGCGTTCGGCATCTGTCTCTCTCCTACTGGAGTGAGCGATGCGTCCGCGTGGACAGCTGCTATACAATAATACATTTCCATTTACCTCCTTCTCTATATCCATACAAAATATCTATCAAACAAATAAAATTAAAATTTTCTTTTGAAAAATGAAACCATTCCATCAGTATTTTTTTATGACGTTGTCATGTTCAACTATCGTCAGTAAACCGACTTTACAGACAACCGATTTTTTTTTAGTGTAACTGTTATTATTGAGACCACGTGATCACCAATAAAAGAACATTCTTTAGCAGATACCTTTTCTAATAGCAAGTATGCTAAGTGTTACATTTTTAGATGGAATCTTATCAGAATTTTCCATTGCTTAATATCATCGTTAGTTTTCTAGAGAAATTGTTTCATAATCAAGTCTATCGTGATACAAACAATAAACACATTTTTGTTAGCAGCCATGTAAAATCCATTAAATTCATAACGCAAGAATTAAAAGCAATCTATTCTATTAATAACATAGAAAAGTATGATTTAAATTAAAAACTGGCACTTGATCAATGCACAAAAAATCAAAAATTTTTATTTATAAAATAAGCAAAACTGGCATTTTTGTGAAAAACATACCCACAGAAGCATTTTCAATATTTAATTAAAAAAATTCTGCTTAGAATTAGTTTGTTTCACAATGAAACTGATTGTAACAAGGCACCTGACCTTATACAATTTTTCATGAAAGCTAATGTTGATTTTATGAATATGAAAAGTGAATTTCTCTCAAGAAGAGGTCTATCTAACAGTATAAAACTTACATTAGATACACTAGATACTTACTTGAGGTGATTTTTAGAAATCATATAAAAAAAGATACTATTTTTTACTGAATTTATTAATTGAGAAGGTTTCTACCTTTAGGTATGTATGTATGTCTATAAAAACGTAATGAAATAAAAATATTTTCAAAAGAAACAAAAAGAGCCAAGAAATGGCAGGAACCTAACCTAACATTTACGTTTCCTTTGTTTGGAAAGTGAAATTAAAGAACGTCCAACAAAGGGGAAATTTTTAATAGTTCAACAAATGATCATTCCGTTGAATTAATGTATATTATGCAGACGCATAATATTTTTTATGAACATGGTTTGGTAATTTGCAGCCATTTAGGATTTTTTTCGAAATTTAAGTTTGACTGGTCTGGTGTATCTCTCTAATAGGTGTCCTTAATTTAAATTGGATAGATGTTATTACACTATGTAGGTTGTTTTGTTTGCATGACATTATATGGATTATGCTACTCTTTTGCATATTTTTTAATCTACCATAAACCAGTGGTACTTGCAGTGTCTTGCAGTGTTGTGCCCCGTCGAAGTTCATGTAAAGATATTTCGAAAATGTTTATTAATAAACAATCGTTTTTTGCAGCAAGGCGTCAAGAAATTATTAAAATGACGGAGCAACTTATAGAAGCAATTAATACTGGTGATTTTGAGGCATACACGTAAGTCTTTAATATCTTTTAGTGGCTACTAAGTGTTCCTACAGGTAATAAAAAGGTGATAAAAGTAGGAAAAGAATTCTTCTATTAAATAAACTGTTACAAAAGTATCATACCATTAAATATGTTTAATGGTATGGTATCGTCTCATTAATAGAACGTCCTCTAGTACTACATAACAGAAACATTGATTCCAGATGTAGATTTTTTTCCATTTATTTTATGCCGATATTGTATATTATTTCTAAGTAATGAAAAAGTAGTGATTTACATGACAGGAAATTTCACATCTAAAATTGATGGGTATTTATTTATTAATTTATTCTGTTTTGTCACTTTTGATTCCAATTTAAATTTTTTCAGTTTTGTTTTCTTTCTTGATCCATTATATGATATATTAGGTAACTAAACTGTCAAATATTCTAGTGCTTAGTAAATAGGGGCTCTCTATCGAACTCTACTTTTAATATTGCAGTCACCCAACAATTACGATATCCATTCTTCTTTTTTATTTTAATGCGTCACCTAAAACTACAATAAAAATCCCGCGTGCATTGTTTGCAACTTTTCCCTCATTTCTTTTTAACCTTCTAAATAAACAATTACAACGTAATTAAAGCATTTAACACAAAAATCCGAATATTATGAATGAAGACCATGTGAAGGAGTCAAATACTTCACAAAATATTGTTGTATTTTCACAATTATCAGAGTGGAACCAATGCTTTTTGAACGTCCAGTATATAATATGAAAATAACTTAAAGGTTAAATATGGTGCCAAACATCAACATATTAAATGTAGCCAAAAACAAATTATAAAAAAAATGAAAATAATTACGATCGGGTATTCTAAAAGCATACACGAGAAAAATGTAGGTTTCTGTTTAATTTATAGAAAAATATGTGATCCACATCTCACTGCATTTGAACCAGAAGCCATGGGTAATCTAGTTGAGGGTATGGATTTCCATAAATTTTACTTTGATAATGGTAAGTGCTTTTTTAATTTGACATGGTCAAATTACTTCTTATGTTGATTGTAATTATAGGAAAAACATCCCTTATCCCCCATTTTTGATCATAATGATAGTTAATTCAATAAAATAAACTAATTCCAATTTGAGTTATATACGTTTTTCCTAACTATAAAAGTATAAGATATTATATAAACTTGAGAAAAAATAACTTGAAAACTACTTAAAGTTTTAACTGCTTTTTTTCTTCAGTGTTATTTATAGATTTTTAGACAATAAATTATCTCTTTTAGTGCTGGGTAAAAATTGTAAAGCTGTAAATACAACAATTTTAAACCCACACGTTCATTTGCTGGGAGACGATGCAGCCTGTATAGCTTATGTACGATTAACTCAGTACATGGACAAGTAAGTGTATTTTTTGTATTTTAAAGTTCTAAAAAGAAACTATATAAAGAAGTGTTATATACGTATTCTGGAATTTTTTACTTGATATCGATGACTTCTTAACCTAAACTTTCGAAAGCGCACCTTTTCTGAAACATCTCAAATAATGAAAGTAGATACACTGTTGTTTCGCCAAATTTTTTATTTCGAAAATTCGCCAATATAAATACTAAATCTCATCACTAATACGAACTTATTTATACAAACAAATAATGATGAGCAAAAATTGTCTTGGTCTTCCAATTTAGTCTTGACTTGTCTTGTTTAAGTTTTGCATATCGAAATGTATTAACAAGACCAAGATTTACCGAATTGCTCGCAAGGCCAAGACTAAGACTAAATGAACAAAATCGAGACCAAGAGCAAGACTAATTAGCAAGATTCTCGTAAAATCCTCACCTATATAAATTCTGAATACAGCTGCAAAATAAAATAAAAATTATATGTAAGAAAATATATGCAAATTGGTTTGTTATCAGAAATTCCGCCTTTTTTGCAACAGTTTTTTTTGTAATACAGAATTAAATAGGAATAGTTAGCGTGCCGTGAAATAACCGCAAAAAGAAAATAAAAAACGCATATTTTTCATCTTAGCAGTATACAGAGTGTCCCAAAAGTTCTAATTTTTATAAAGTTAGACATTTGTTGAATTACTCGTTTATTTACATTTACGATATTTTAAATGTGATAAAAATGGAGGTAGTGAACTTCATTGTGAAATTTTCGGACTATTCCAATATTAACTCATATCAAAAGCGAAAACAATTTTTATGTTTTCCTTAAAAAATAACCATATCCAAAGAAGTCAGAATTTCGCAGTGGTAAGAGCAGATTTAAAATTGCAAGGAACCGCATATGCTATACACCATGTCTGATCAGTAGATACTCAAAAAAAAATTATGGAAAAAGAAGATAGGTACACGGAAGAAATAGAATGAATCATCTCACACCACACTGTGATGGGGGTACTGACCTTACCGCAAGCCCCAATTGCTCCGGCAATGATGACCAGGAATACCTAGGGTAGTGAACTGCCGGGTATGTCATATGGCGAAGGTAACGGTACAATTCGCAAAAATAACGAAGGTACATCCTGGTAGATGTAGTGTGTCAAACACGGTCATAGATACTGTATATTTCGATAATGGTACGAATACAGGGAATTCTTCCTTAATATCCTCCACACCGTATCACGCAGAATCCTTCTTTGCCGTGCAATGACTTGGATACTCAAACCGGTATTGTCTTCTATTAACCTAACAACGATTTTTTCAATACCAACCTATCGTGTTTGCTATCCTTCACCTCCTTGGTGAGATACCACACTTCTTGCCTGTGATGCCGCCACTGTATTCTCATTGTACAGTTCATGAGTAGCCACCATGTCCTCATATTCTTCGTGCGAGTACATCGTTTTTTGCTTGATATTTTCAAAATAAACTTATTTTTGTATTTTGTGATAACAGCAGTAACTTTGGCAATTGAACGGTGACCACCGAGTGCAGACTACTACTAATCATCATTGCATGTACGTATAATTGGCTTGTCAGCGTATCAGCTGCTGCGAAGGTCACATATAGATAAGTATGTTTCGCCACTGAACGCTTACGATACAAAATAACGCGGCCGCCAACCTGGCGGTGTTCTCAAACATTGACGGTTGATTAGGTGAAGTATATTTTGTGCATAGTTCTTTCAAATATTCCGGAATACTGGTCAGACATAGTGTGTGTGTGTATAAATTTGTTTTTTCTAAACTGTTACGATAAGTCTTGCAAAAACAAAAATCGATCTCTTAAAAATACGTACTGTCAAAAAGCAAAACCAAGAGAAAATTACATTAGTCGAGTTTTGGCTTTGCTCTTTTAATCACTACATACAAAGTGCAGAAAAAAAAGTGGGGGGCTAATAGTCCCTGATTCCATGTAGTTTTTAATTGAAGTTAAACAACTTTTTTTTAACGCTAATGAGCGTATTGATTATCCACTTGTATTGGCTCAAAATGTTCATAATCTCTTTGGAACATTTTACCCTTCTGCTTTCCACAAGGGTATAGGTTGAAACGGCCACAATATAATAAATATTTTGAAAAGTTATGATTATACGTATATCTACTCTACATCATCATCATCATAAGGTGGTCAGTCTGGTTGGGCACGCACCTCCACTCCTTCCTATCCTGAGCTAATCTACGCATTTCCCTAAAACTAAACATCCCACCCCTTAACTATTTACGAACAGTAATCGAATCTAGGTTTATCTCTACTCCTCTTAACTCCTGTTTCTGCCTCTAATATGTCTCTAACTTCATGCCTGAGAAGGTGTCCAACCAGCCTCACCATCATCATAAGGTCGTCAGTCCTAAGACTGGTTGCACACGTACCTCCACTCTTTTCTATCCTCATCTAAACTTCGCAATTCCCTAAAACTAAAACAGCCCACATCCTTAACTATTTGCGAACAGTAATCTAATCTAGGTCTACCTCTACCCCTCCTAACTCCTGTTCCTGCCTCTAACATGTCTCTGACTAGACCTTCATGTCTAAGAAGGTGTCCAACCAACCTATCTCGCCTATTTTTTATTGACTGCCAGAGTCCTCTGTTCTTCTACTTTTTCTAATACCTCTTCATTTCTAACCTTATCTATCCACGGTATCCTCATCATTCGTCGATTAAAAGTATAGTCACTTTTCTCTGCCAACCCTTTCCGAGACGACAAACCCGTTTCTAAAAGAAGTCGGCAAAAGTGGAGTTTACATGAGTCTACAAGAAGTATGCCTCGAATATTACAATGTTCCCAACATAACCTAAATGTCCTAATTGCGCAGAAGTGTCCATGGTGACAATACAATAAAGTAGATAACTACCATACTGAATGTCAAACAAAAGAAGTAGGTATATGGTCACGACAGTTCTTTTATGTTGCTTTTTTCTACTGTAACTTTTCAATACAAAACATATCCGTCAAAAAAGAAAGTTGGCAATGCTGTGAAAGTTTATTATATTGCGTAGACAACTTCAGAAGCGATGTCGTAAGCTCCACTTTCGCCAAAGAATCACCCTTCTCCCATTATTACTCTTTAAATCTAGGAATACATAAAGAATCTATAGGGAAATATTTCTGAATAAAATCAGAGATATTATGAAATGTTAGTGACATCTATTAATTGACATGATTTATTTAATTGGTCTGACATTTTTCATAATGAAAATGTCAATAATAATAAGACGATTCTTTAAACAGAATGGGGCAGGCTCATACACATCAGTCGGAGGAAAGCCGCGTCTGGCACAAGAAAGACAACAAATGGCAAAATGTACATTTCCACAGGAGCGGAGGCACTGGCGGAGCCGCCTTCGGATTCAGTTCTCATAAATAGGATCACTAGCAATAGGATTAATATTTTACATATTATTATGATAATAGTTTGATTTATTACGACTTCGAACTATTGAAGAGACAAATTGGTCCCTATCCGTAAATAAATAATGTTTGCGCCAGGCGTCGAAATCAAGAAACGAAATTATTATTTATAACGTTCACATCACGTATATACAGGGTGGCTCTTGATAGAGACAAATGGATCAGGCCATTGAAATTTATGGCACAAAAAGGCCACTGTGTTTTTAATCATAAACGAGTCAGCTGCTGCATTTACAAGACATTTAAAAACATTTTTTTATGGGGATTGATATTTGCATATTGATTTTGAGCTTACTTTAGGTCCACCGTTGTTAGATGCTTATCCAGAAGGTTTATGTGCACTTTTTATTCGATTTACTGATATCTTTTTTATTTTTTGTTACAAAGTTTGTGAGCACCCTGTATGTAATACATAAATATTACTGTTTTTACTCACACTGAAACATCACACACACACACCACATACAGACACACACACACATTACACATATTGTTTATAGTCGTTTCGGTTTTGACGCCGGACGGAATTTTATGATTTTTTTATTTTTGTACAAAATTCGATTTATTTATTTTAGATAGAGTTTATTTAAGTGTTCTCCAAATGATGATCCGTTGTCAGTTCATGATCCATATTGAGAAGTCATCCGGTTGCCATTTTATGCTTTTTCAAAACAATCCAACTATTACAACACTACATAAAATAAAAATGTAAATAAATAATCAAAAAATAACAACTAATAATGTTCTTCCAAAGAATTTAAAAAAAAATTAAGAGGTAAAGGGAAATTTTAAACCGCATTATTTATCCCTTTACTTTTAATGGAAAATCGATTTAAAAATAAAATAAAATAACTTCACCTACTTATTACAATTGATTTCTAACGACAACAAAAAAATAACATGTATAACAAATTGTGTAAAAGATAATGAAAGCATAAATGGCAACAGGTATACTTCGTTTACTTTCTGTAGCGATGTGACCTTCTGTTTGACCGGCGCAAAGTGGAAAAGAACAGCACTAGGTCAGAAAAGGAAGAAGACAACTCTCGGCCAAACTTTTAACCGGTGAGATGCGTATAATCCGTACAGTACTGCACGAAAAAATTGATCATTTTATCCACTAAAATTGCATTGCTCAAATATGCTGTTATTGGTACCATTTACTACTGAAAATATCAACGAGATGTTTATTTATATTTGAAGATATATTAAAGCGAGCTCCGTACNATTGACCATTTTATCCACTACAATTGCATTGCTCAAATGTGCTGTTATTGGTACCATTTACTACTGAAAATATCAACGAGATGTTTATTTATATTTGAAGATATATTAAAGGCTTTAACGCTTGTTTTCGACTTGCACCACTATCATGATTGAATAAAACTTTTGGCAAGTACTGTATGTTTAATGAACAAGAGTCGAGAGTATAATGAGCTTTTTTCTCCCTACCTACGATTGGAAGGGGCGCATCGCTAGAGAAAGTAAACGAAGTATAGTTGAAACGTTTTATTTACATAAAAAACACAAATTTATGTGCAATCCATAATGAAACAGAAATATGATTAGAGTAGTTCATAATATACATATAAGCATTTTAAAATTTTTTATTCGGAAGCTTTGGATCTGCTATATACATTGAACAAATACAAATAACATAACACTGCATTACGAAGAAAAAACAGCATTGACTCAGCGGTTATCTTTTTTAGTATTTACCTAATATCTACAATACATATAAATAATAAAATTATTAGATTACAGGAGCTTTCAAAATATTGGTTGATGGCAGAATGTTTTCACAAATCCTTTTTATCAAAATATAATAAGTATACATACATATTCCTATAAGTAATAGATTCAGTGTAATTTTTAATGTCGACTTCAACTTCAATTTGAATATTTCAACATTAATTTTCTATTATAACCTTATTGAAGTGAATTAAGAAAGTAACTCACTGACTTGCTGTGGATAAAGAGAAACGTAAAAGTAGTCAACCGAAAGAAGAACAGACCGAAAAAATAGAGCATTTTTTTTATGGTTTACAACTTCTTATACTATTTATCATAAATGTGTTTCATTAAATTAACGTTTGCTTCTGTGCACACCAGTGTTGCCACCGTTTCATTTTCGGTCCCCCCACACCGAAAGAAAATTTTCTCCTTTTTTCCATAAACATGGACATTTCCTCACATTCTTTTTCTTCTTCATTTTCCCGCACACTTTTTCTGCCTGATTTGTACTTGTCATCAATTTATAAATTAATCTCAAACCAGAGTGCTCAAATCAGACATTCTTCTTGAGACAAATCAGACGCAAATTAAATTTCAAAAAGAAACTTCTAACATCAAATTTAAAAGCCGAAGTTAAACAAAAAAGAAAGCCAGATTTGAAGACAAAATCCTATTATTAACTATTTTTTCCCTTTTTTCCATTCCGCTCATTTGGTTGTTAATATTTCGTTGCAAGCTTGGAATTGGTTTGTATTCACCACTCAGTAGCATTCCGCGTCGNTAATTTGTACTTTGCTGCCAATTCTCTTGATTAAATTATGTAAATATATAATTTATAGACACCAAGTGTTGCTTTGAATAATTAAAATAACAACAATAACAGATTTTCAATGATGAATGGGCTTGAAATTGATATAACGCACTTTCACTTACTTAATTACCCAATCAAAAATTATATTCCTATTGTTACATATTTTACCAAAGTTTTACCCAGTTTTTTAGTACACTGTAAAGTGGATACAAATAAATTGTTCGTGCTGTGACTAGTTTATTTTTAAAACCTGCCCAGTTATACCTAAAGGTACAGCTTAACAGAAATAGCTTGGCCCCTGAGATTTCGAGAAAACGGCGCAAAAAATAGAAAGAAGGGGCATTCGAAAGGAAAAAGATGCAGTTTGCTGCTCGGTATTTGTGCTTCTTTTCAAATCGGGCTCTTATTGTACAGCTGAACTTACCCCAGGATGTCTTAATTGTATCGGTAATATTAACACGAAAACTAATAATGCACTTTAAATGAAGCAGATTCACCTGTTTAGCATTTTATATTTTAAATAGCTTTTGAAAGCATATTACCCACCTCCAACATTAGGTGAAAATTATTGTTAATTATATCTATCGTTCAGAGATATGATTTATTTAAAATGCAAATACAAATTAAAAAACACCTATTTTTATATTACATTTAAACACTTTTCTTGAGAAAAGCACTTTGTATTTTATTTGAAATACTTTTCCAAACCTATTTTCTAATTGTAAAATGCAAAACACATTCTTGCCGTTAAAAGTTTTGTTAGTATCACCGATCAAACATTACATGAAATGATGAATGACAATTGGTTATATTGGTCATTGAAGTTTTAGAAGCTTAAAAAGAGGACAAAGAGACATTCCATGAATGCCTTCTAATTCTTTCACAGAAAAGAGCCCAAAAAAATCTAGACTCCTTAGAAAACGATAATCTTCTATCTTTTCCGGGTTCAATGTCACGGCCCATGGAATTTTGAAGTTCCAAATTGATATCAACACCCGCCAAATCACCACTTATCGTACCTTTAGCAGGGAACTAGGAAATTTTATTGTAGCGATCTGTACATATTCTAAATATCTGAATTTTATTTTCTAAAATTTATTTTCTTTCTAAATCTTTACTTTCAATTTTAATTTCAAACTCTTGAGTATACTTCATTACCTGGAACCCCTATACTTGCACGTACCCTGTCTTGTAATTACTAACAACCTGGTTTCTCCCGCAGTAACATTCCATTCTATTTACTTCTGAGAATTTTTACCGTCAGTACTTGTACCTTCTATCTTTCTTCTAAACTACCCTTCTCCTTGTCTATCTTCAACAACTATTTAACTATAAATACCCTTATTTTCGATTTCAAAAGTTAGTTAGTTTCTGCAGAGTTCTTCTAGTTCATTTCCCCAGCTGTTTAGTAAGTTTACACATATATTGTTATTATCGTTATTGTTTTGGTGGTTGTCTTGTTCCTGTTGTTGTGTTTATCAAAAATCTTAGACGAATTCGACGTTAGTGTTTTCTTTCTTGCGCCATATTTGTGCAGTATCAAAAACTACCAAAAACACTCCATTATGAACTACGACAAAACATCCCCAAAACTATATGGAATTGATATGCGCCAGTTGTATAAAACTGAAAACTACAATATATTGTGGTGTGCTAATAAATGCGTATAATCCAAAACTCTTAGAAAACGATTTCAAAAAATTTACTTATTAGATGAACCCAAAACTAAAGAAATTATGGATTCCTATTTGTTCTCTTATTACAATGTACAATCGGAAACAAAATGGGGTTGTAAATATTTCGATATAAAATGATTGATGTTGATTTTACATCGATAAAATTATTTGCAACCCTATTTTGGTTCTCAACTTTCACGATAAACAAACTATTTTAGTATCAGTATCTTTATTCCAATTAAAACGGGTGACATAGGTAAATAAAGAAACATATAGAAGAATTATTTGTTGCTGAACTGAAGAAACTATAACATAAAGATAGAAAAACTATATCTCAGTCACTTCGAACAGAAAAATACGAATTATACTCAATCTTCGTAGCTGTTGATATAGTGCAAGCACTACTACCTATTAGTCTAGAAAAACTCCAATATTTAAAAAATGAGCAAATGCCTGCAAGGTTTTCTTAAAAAATATTTTATAGTTAAGTGAATGTAGAAAATTAAATAGGTATTACAAAAAAAAGTATTTATTTGAAAAAAGCATTTTGAAAATATGTCTTTTACCTTTAGCGTTTAAAATACAAAAGGGAAATCTATTTCGTATTTTACATTTGAAATCAGTAATCAAAAAAGTATTGTATGCACCGTCATGTTTTCACCGTGACCAAATTGACTGTCCCCACTACAATATGAGCGTGTCCATCACGCATCGGTGGACGTAAACAATCCAGGGGCCAAACTATTTTTGTCAAGTGATACCTACATTCGTTCATTCAAAACCCTTTTGCTCTGAAGGAAATTGCATTGCAAAAGATTTATATTTATTACCAGCGTTGTTCCCATGCATTAAAAGTACTGGCTCATGTGGCGACTTACTTGGTATAAAGAACTTTTCATTGCATACGTCTGGTGGCGTTTACCATATACGTTTATGCATTACTCATTCAATAAAAATATTAAAACAATGTAACTAAACATTATTTACAATCGAACAAACGTAAATAATCATCGAACAAACGATACTGAATATAAATTGATCGATTTAAAGCAAAAGAAGTTTCTAAGAGAGGGAAGAAGCAAGGTTGAGAGTGAAAATTTGTTTATTTTCTTATAAATAAACGAAAGAGATCATACGATTATTTCTAACGAAAAATTACGAACAAACGACTAACAATCGATTAGAACCACTTAAAATAAGAAAAAATTCTTGGGGGTTTAACTTTTCGGACCTTACAAATACTTTATTAAAAAAATAAGTACTTTTTTCTAATAAATAGTTTTAATAAAAAAGGTCACCATTGAGCTTACTCACATTTTGTCTTTAAAATGTTAAAATTTTCTTAATTTTATCTCACTTAGGTGAGAACAAAATTCGCTGTGTATTTTTAATTCAAAAACGTATTTAATTGATAACGAAACTGCAAGTCGTGAGAAATATACAATTTTCCTGTAAGTTGTCTAATAATAATAGTTTTTTTCTCCAGTCGCGATTTCTAAATTCATATTTGAAAAATAAAAAGAATTTAAATCGCACATATGGCTTATATAGGACGATAAGACTTTATCGCATTGCATTTTTCAATGTTTTGTATAAATAATAAATCAGTGTTTCATAATGTATGGACATTTAAAGCTCTCTAAGACATAATTATCCAATCAAATTATTATACTGTGAGTGTTATTGGTACTTCTTATTTCAACTTTACGCCTACGAATCTTCGGTCATCGTTAGGTTTCACCTTTTCTTGCACATTCATCAAAAATTAATGGAAAAAACGAGACAATTGCGATTTATTTCTGTATTTGTTTAAAAAAAAATACGTATTGTTCTAAATATGTTGCATAACACAAAATACTTGTACAAAACGATTGTTATATAAATAAATATTTGTTATTGTTTAGTAATATGTAATATGTTTCACATCTTGTATTTAACAGCTTCAACTGCAAATAATAGCTTAACTGTTAAAGTATTTTGTTATAGTAAATTTATTGTTGATAACAAGAGAAAAGGTCTGTAAAGTACAATTATATAATAACAAAAACGTACATATACCTAAAATATCAAACAACTATTAAATTCAATATTATACAACTATTNAAAATTAAGTAATATGTGAATAGTACTAATACATAATATAAAGATAAATTCCGCTTACCATATTAGATCAGTTTTAAAGCACAAATGACACGCAAGCAATTGGCATCAAATGAATTATCATATATACAGTAGTTTTTAAATAAATTAACATTTAATTTCCACCTGCACCCGAAACAATTTTCGTTTTTTGTAACAGAAGTACTGGACGCACAATTACAAAACTTACATATTTAGAATTCGCAAACGACGCATAATTTACTAGTAAAGTTTGAATCAGTGGATTATTTATATTGGGTGCCAAATTCACACAATTTCATTCTCTATTTGTTATTGTACCCATAGATGTAGCCAAATCAAGAGTTAACTGTAATCCATGATATAGAGGTTATGTTTTTATTTTAAAAGTAAATTAAAATAATCATAAGAAGGTTCTCAATAATAAGTGTATGTTTTGTAAGAGAACCTTTACTTTTAAAAGGAGCTATTCTCCATTCATATTAAAATCCGTACAGGAGAAAAGTCAGGTAAATGCCCAGAAGGTGGTAAAACTATTGTTACAGTTGCAATGCTCTTATATTAGTACATATATGGTAAAAACAAATCTCAACCATTTAAATGTGAAACCTTTGGACAGAAATATTATTAATGTTATTATATTAAGTTATATAATTACAAAAACTATTACATAAAAATTACTTTCTACCCTGTGCTTATCATATAAACCAACAAATAAAACACCATTAATTCTTAAAATTTACCTCAACCTTTAATTTTAAATAAAACAAAACTTTACTCCTTCTTTCTTTTGCTCACTATCTCTTAAAACTTTCTTAAGTAGAGTTGCATCCTTGCGTTCTGCTCCTAATGTTTCTTTGTGTTAACTCCCTATTTCATTTTCCTCATCCTTTTCGATCACATGACAAACTCTAATATTCTCTTCTGCATTTTCTCTCTTTCTGTTTTAAACAATATTTAATCTCATTACATTCGTTTCCCATTCTAAACCTTGTTATAATTGTTATCTCTGGTCTTATATCTCCCTGCCAATCTTCCCATCCACCCTTTCACCCCATCCACATATTTCGACCTTTGTCACCTCATAGCACCTTTTCTTTATCATATTCTATATTCCTTTCAACATTTTTATATCAATTGCTCTTTATTTATCGTAAACGCTTCAATTTTTCCTCATATATGATTGCTTTCCTAGTCTCCTCCAACATTTCTCCACAATTCGTTTCTCTTCTTAAAATACAGTCGTCAGTCGTGCTTCTTTCCAATTTTAATATCTATTTTATGTATTCTTTATAAATATACTTCACTTTTCCAACCCCATGATTTACACCTCATAGAAGATAACACTGATAACAATAATTGAATTATTATTTCTCATTCTCAATCGTATCTGCATAGTTTTTGCCCCATTCATATTTTTTCAATTGTTTACTACATTTGCCTTTGATATTTTAATATTAATACGTGCAACATCCTTGTTATTTTCTCTCATCATATATCCCAAGTAGTTGCATTCTTTGACCCTTTGAATTGCCATACCCTTCCATTTTACTTCTACTTCTTTTTCCTGCCTCTTGTCTCTCTAAATTCTATTATTTTAGTCTTTTCTTAATTTAATTCTAAATCTTTCTTCTCTAAATATAATTTCAATAGTCTTACCATTCCTCTTAATGCATTATAACTTGTTGCTAGCAGAGCAACATCATCTGTTTCATTATCGCCTATACTTTTTTTCTATCCAGAACTTCCCAGCATTCTTACCATTTCCTATTTCATTTTCTGTTTACTGAATCATTCGCCATTTTTAGGTCTGCCCTCATTTAATTTTTTCCATATATGTTTGCACCGCGTTTTTAATTATGTAAATTGCATCTATCGTTCCTTTATTTTCTGTAAATAGGAAGTGCATTGCACTCAAAACTTTATTATTGTTATATTCTCTAGTCTATTCTTTATTATGTCAGTGTAAATCTTGTAACTAGTATCCATCAAAGGGGTTCCTCTATCATTACCATTCTCTTCTTTTCTTCATCCCATATTTTTACTTTTTTATATCCCAGTTTCCATTCCCTTCCTTTCATCCTTTCACCATTTGCCATATAATCTTTTCTATATCCCTCTCTTTTATCTTCTCGTCTTTCTTTAAAAATGTATTTGCTCCTTTAAAAATTTTCTTATTCATCCTCAATATTTCTACATGCTATCCACCTTCATCCCGAAAACCTCTTTTTTTACTTCCAAACCTTCAAAATATTTATTTCAATCTTCACCTTCTCCTTATCTACCTACTTCCACCATTTCCAATCTTCAGCCTTCTAACTCCATTCCAAATATCATCAAATTTAACTTCTTCTCCATCTTAATTTTTCTCTCTATCTCTTAACTCTAATCTTTTCTTTTATTCCTTTATTTTCTTACTGTACTTTATTAAACTTTTGCTGCAAGTTCGTTCATCTACTTATTTCTTCCATTTTTCTAATTTTATTCCATCTTTGTATATATTTTTTCATCGTTTCTTCCAATAGAAAATCCATCTTATCACTCTCCAAACTCTTCCATTTATTATTTCTCGCTTGTTTTTGAGTACTCTTCAGTTTTCTATTCTTGCCACCTTTTCTATATTACTTTTAGTCACTCAGCTTCCTAGGCTTTCTCTCCTATCGTTTCCATTATCGGTTTCACTTGTATTTACTGTTGAATTACTTCTGTTCAGCGTATCTTTCCATCCTATTCCATTTTTTTTTTACTTAGTTTATTTCTGACTCTACATCCTTTATCCTTTTTTATGACATTACTTATGCTTCTAATATCATATTAATTACCTCATCTCACTAAGTGAGCAAAAACCACTATAAATTAAATTTTAACTCGAAGCTATTTACCACGTGTTGCAGAACCAAATGACAAGTGTTGTATCTGTTCTTATCAGTTTAATGTTACTAAGATGCATTGCTAATTTGAATTTACTTACTATTTCGTGGTGTTAACTTAATTTTGCCTATGTAATTTTCAGAAACAGCTTGGTGCATCATCAAAAATTAGATATGGATAAGCTTCCAATTACATGTTTCATCAGAGAACCGGACGTTCCGCTCCATACCGGAAAAAAAATGTATGAGCATGCGTGTCAAGTGTGTCAAAAAAGATATTCCCGTAAACGAAATTTAGATCGACATATGCTCATCCACTCGAAGGAAAATCCATTGAAATGTGAAACCTGTGGACGGAGATTTCTTAAAGAGTAAGTAATAATTAATACCTCTATAGCGTGCGAAATGCTAATAGAGAAAGATAACAGTATCCAGTCTATTTGTCAGGATGCGACTAGGGTCTGTTTGCGAAGTCAGTATTCAGAAGATGTGAGTCTATTTGCGAGACTGATTTATTATGATACTAGATTTGACTGCGGCTTCGCTCACGTTGGTGTCCTAAATACGTATCAAAGGTCATCGTTGACCACATAAAATTAATTCTTCTATCCCTGGGGACAGCATTTTTTCTTCTACCTTATCTACTTTTCTGTACCCCTGACCATGTGCCTATAAAATTTCATGATGATCGATTGAATAGTTAAGGGGTGAAATCGACCACAAGGAAGTATTTTTTTCTATCCTTCGAAAAAAAAAAGTATTTTTTCTTCTGGATAAGAGGTACCTTATTTCTTTTTCTGTATCCCTGACAAAGTGCTACAAAATTTCATGATGATTGATTGAGTAGTTGAGGCATGAAATCGACCACATAAAAATAATTTTTTCTATCCTTCGGAAACAGCATGTTTTCTTCAGGTTAAAAGGTACCTATGTCTTTTTCTGTACCCCTGACAATGATTCTACAAAATTTCATGATGATCGATCGAGCAGTTAAGGCGTGAAATCGACCACATAAAAATAATTTTTCTATTTCTCGGAAAGAGTATTTTTTTTTTGAATAAAAGGTACCCTATGTCCTTTTCTGTACCCCTGACAATGATTCTACAAAATTTCACGATGATCGATCGAGCAGTTAAGGCGTGAAATCGACCACATAAAAATAATTGTTTCTTTCCTTCGGAAACAGCATGTTTTCTTCAGGTTAAAAGGTACCTATGTCTTTTTCTGTACCCCTGATAATGATTCTACAAAATTTCACGATGATCGATCGAGCAGTTAAGCCGTGAAATCGACCACATAAAAATAATTTTTCTATTTCTCGGAAACAGTATTTATTCTTTTGAATAAAAGGTACCCTATGTCCTTTTCTGGACCCCTGACAATGATTCTATAAAATTTCATGATGATTGATTGAGTAGTTGAGGCATGAAATCGACCACATAAAAATAATTGTTTCTTTCCTTCGGAAACAGCATGTTTTCTTCAGGTTAAAAGGTACCTATGTCTTTTTCTGTACCCCTGATAATGATTCTACAAAATTTCACGATGATCGATCGAGCAGTTAAGCCGTGAAATCGACCACATAAAAATAATTTTTCTATTTCTCGGAAACAGTATTTATTCTTTTGAATAAAAGGTACCCTATGTCCTTTTCTGGACCCCTGACAATGATTCTATAAAATTTCATGATGATTGATTGAGTAGTTGAGGCATGAAATCGACCACATAAAAATAATTGTTTCTTTCCTTCGGAAACAGCATGTTTTCTTCAGGTTAAAAGGTACCTATGTCTTTTTCTGTACCCCTGACAATGATTCTACAAAATTTCATGATGATTGATCCAGCAGTTAAGGCGTGAAATTGACCACATAAAAATAATTTTTTCTATTCTTCGGAAACAGTATTTATTCTTTTGAATAAAAGGTACCTTATGTCCTTTTCTGTACCCCTGACAATGTTTGTACAAAGTTTCAGGATGATCGATGGAGTAATTAAGGGGTGAAATCGACCACATGAAACGAATTTTTTTCTATCCCTCGGGAACAATATTATTTCTGGATAAAAGGTACCCTTTGTGCTTTTCTGTACTGCTGACAAAGTGTGTACTAAATTTCATGATGATTGAGTAGTTAAGGCGTGATAGGCCGACAAACAAACGAACTCACATTCGCATTTATAATATTAATAGTTAGGATTTAAACAGTATTTATACAAAATATATTTACATTAGTTATAGGTATGTGAATTGTCTATTGTGCAGTTTGGTTCAGTTTTGGCCAATCAGTAGAAGTGGTGACTTACTTGCATGTATGTGTACCGCATGTCTACAAATAATATACTAGACGGAATGTACCCAACAGGTCCCATCATAATACTATAAATGACTAAAAAAAGTCACCAATGTATTGATCGAGTTTCGCTGCTCATTTACGAATTTGAACTATTTGAACCGAACTTTCAAGTTGGGTTATCTGAATTGACTGGAATTGGCTGGGTGCCCAACCCAATCGAGTGGGTGCCCGGGGATCCGTGGACCCCCCCCCCTTGTTGCGCCCTTGGTACCCAACGTACTTTGTATTACACATATCCAAAAGATGTCTTTTGAAACGATACCCTACAAACCTAATTTTTATTTTTCAATTATATTGTTTTTTGACTTCCTGTATTTAAAAATGGGGTGGTCGATTACACTTTTTGATGCTAACCTAATGTTTAATTTTACCAGTATGCATTAATAATTTGAATTTGATTATTGCATACTATTAACTTAAATAATTTTCAGAATAACATTAATACGTCACCGAAAAAGGCATAAGGGTAAACATTCATTTGAATGTCCAACTTGCGGCAAGCGTTTCAAAAAAAAGTCGAAGTGTCCCGTTTGCGTTCATACTGAAGAAAATCCGTACGAATCTAAAGTGGGTCTGAAACCCTATAAGCAAAATTTCAATCGACATATGCGCATTCATACGGATGAGAGGTCATTCGTATGTGAAATCTGTGGACAAAGATTTACTGAAAAGTAAGTAATAATTAACACAATTGCGTAACTAATTAACAAGACTATTTTACACATATACAAAACTAGTCATATGAAACAATGCACTACAACACTTCTATTTTTCATAATTCCTTTACTTATGCCATTTCTAATCATCTTATTAGTTTTCAAGAATTAATTTTTGATTAATATAGATCAATATGCAGTGGCGTCCGTATATAATTAGAGACCTAGGGTCAATTAAATAAACAATTACTCCGTCAGTTAATTTTTTTGAAGTGAAACTTCTTTACGCACGGTAGGGTAAGTTCGTTTCATGCGAGTTGCTATGTAACGAAATCATGCAACGCATTTCCCCCGCTGTCTGTCCCTATGAATGCTTAGATCTTTAAAATTACGCAACGCATTTTAATGCGTTTTTTTTTTAATAGATAGAGTAATTCAAGGAGGAAGGTTTATATGTATAAACATGCATATTATCAAGGGCGGCCTTTGAGGGTGGCGAGCAGGGCAACCGCCCGGCGCCTCGCTCTTTCAGGGGCCTCGCGCACTCGCATTAATTTACCTTAGTCCATCATAATTAATAATTTCTTATCTTTGCGTTTAACAATTTTTGTTAATTTCCAATAAACAATTATAAAACTTTAAATTTATTGAACTGAAACTTCTATATAGACGCGGAATATTACGATTTTTTCTGTCACGACAAAAGCGTTACGGTCGCGTGGAGAGGGTAGACGGTATATCGAGGGGTGAGAGGCGGCAGCGGCGGAGAGAAAGGCTGACGGCGGCGGAGAGAGGGCAACTGCTGTATTAGATGGATATATTGCGCAGCCGCGCGAAGAGTGGGGAGTCCGCTAGAGTCCCGGCGGCGTGTGCTGTGCTCAGCTGTTGTTTTCTTACCTCTGCTCTTCACGTGGGCACTATTGCCTCTATTTGCTGTCTGTGTGAAAACCAAATCATAATTTACAGTAAACCTGTGAAAACAAAATGTGTGCTGGGACACATAATTGAAGTGAAACTTCCACGGACAAGTGGAAAAACGAATCGCAACAAAATTTTGACTTCAAGTTTAACGGGCAGGTTTTCAAATTGGACGAGTACATTAACAATCTGCCCGTAAAACTTGAGGTAAAAATTTTGTTGCGATTCGTTTTTCGAATTGTCTGTTTAAGTTTCACTTCTACTATGTGTCCCAGCACACATTTCCTTTTTATTAATAACTTTGCATTTCTCGTCAAGTATCATCACTAAAACTAATTTCACAAAGACAACGGCCTCGCAAAGATCTACCCGCCCGGAGCCTCGCAATGGCTAAGGCCGCCCCTGCATATTATAGTAGAGAAACACTGATATTTTTAGAGGTTTGTAATGTGATGTAATTAAACACATTTTTTTGTGTTTACATTGCAAACGCTGGCTGAACCCTACGAGATAGATCAAAATAATAATAATTAGAACATCCCACATCCTTAACGATTTGCGAACAGTAGTCTAATCTAGGTCGACCTCTATTCTTCCTAAGTCCTGTTTCTGCGCCTAATATGTCTTTGACTTAGACCTTCATTCCTGAGGTCCTACCAACCTAGAGTCCAATGTTTTCCTATTCTTCGATATAAAGGTTTAAATGACGTACCCGGCGTCATTATCTGGTATCCGACCGGATCCTAAAAAACAGTACCGGATCCGCTGCGTTCCAAACCGGGTAGCCAGTCCATCTCTGATTAATACCATTATATAACCAGTCAACAAGACTATTACACATTACACTTAAGCCTTTTGGAACAATACCCTATATATAATTTGACAAAATTTTTGTCTGTGTTCCGCCTTTACCTTTATTGGTGTTGACATAATGCTTAATATTACTAGTATCCATCTATAATTTACATGTAATTATTATTTCGTGTTATTAACTTAATCTTACTGTGTAATTTTCAGAGATCATTTGAGGCTTCATGAAATGGAGCATACGGGCGAACGTCCATTTGAATGTTCGTTTTTTGGCAAACGTTTCATCCAAACATCGGACTATAGCAGTCACAATTGCATCCATACGGAGAAAAAATCGTACGAATGTAAAATTTGTTCGCGCAGATTTTCACGTAAATATTCTCTTAAACAACACATGCAGAAACATGCACAAAACTGATGGAAATAAAAATGTTAAACTGAAAAATGCCATTTCTTTTAAATATTAGAAGGATGACGACGCCTTAGGTTTAAACATGGGAACGTTTTTTTTTTATGAAACGTATTTATGTTTTCTTTAAAATTTATTCTTTTTTTCATCATCATATAAAATTTTGAACTAGGAAATGCTTATAAAACTGACCATAAAATTAAAAAATGAAAAAACATACAGCATTAATTTTGAAATAAGAAAATTGATAGTCACATCCGGTAAAGCCAAAAGTGCTAGTGTAAAAATATTTTAATTAGAATTTTAGAATTAATCATATTTATGTTGTGCAAAACCTTCAAGTAGCAAGTAGGTAAAAGTTCTTTCATGAAGGTTTAGACTATAACCTTCGTCCCCATGATACTGTGACTACTTTTATAAGGTATGTTCTTCTGTGTGCTAAAATGAAATCATTTTGCGCATGTTGTCACTCTGTGACAAAAGCATATGCTACTGCGACAGTGTGTAGGCCCATCATCAACGAAAGATGTTAAAAAATACATAATGATACACTCAAAAAGTATACCAAAAACATTGGTTCTGTCGAAACTGACAGACGCGGATCCCGATTTCGATTTTGTTGGATCTCATCGGCGCATCGCGGACAGTTTCGACAGAACGCAGACCAATTTTTACCGGCTGTCTTAACTGCGCGTTTTATAAAATACTACAAATGACGCGGTAAACGCCATCTGTAGTACAATGCTACATTTTAGGATTACGTATGCTCAATAAGTTTCATTTAAATAAATGGATATCTACTTACTGAAATGAATCCCGGCGTAGCTCGCCACTAGGTGAATGGCACGTTACCATAATCGAATAAAATAATTGTACTACAGATGGCGTTTACCGCGCCATTTGTGGTATTTTATAAAACGCGCTATTAAGACAACTGGCAGTTTCGACATAATACAGACCACTTCGGATTATTTGAAGATCTGAAAGGTCGTTTAGTTGTTAGGAGTCAGTAAATTATTTTGAAAATTGTGACATTATTGCAATGCATATAATATAATTACTTTAAAAGGTTTAAGGTGGTGTAAGAAAGAAAAACTTGAAACTGTACTAAAATTTATTATACAAAATTAAAATAAAACAATTGTGGCTCTTGCACTTTTATCATCGCTTATCTACATACATAAATAATAATATTTTATAACTAACTAAAATTTGTATTAATCTGACAATAATACTCATCTGTAATAAAAATACAGCAATATGCATTTCAATTTCATCCTTAGGCAGATAAATTTGACTAGCTTGTAGCCAGTTGCTTTAGGTTACGTATTATATCATATTTACAGGTATTCTGATGTGTATGTATGTATGTATGTATATATGTATACATATATTTTCACAATTAAACGTCTCCACTAGTTTCCGGATTTTGCACTGAATCCGGCTCGAAGGACCATTTTATGTTTCGTCGCCTTGTAAGGGCTCGTTTTCGGCAATATCCTGCTGATACTTATCAGTAGGGCAGAATAAAGCGGCACCACCAAAACTAATTAGCAGTGCATTTAGTTGAAAGAAGAACGCATAGACGTTTGATTTGTGGAATTATATATTGAATTTACACCTACTGTACACCTTTACACTATATACATCGAATCTNTATAACAATCTTAAAAATTAAAAATCACAATATTCTGCTACCTTCTTTTACATAAAAAAAATAGTAAGTAGCTTTGATATAGATACGTTCAGGGAATGTATTAATTAATATTATTATTATTATACTTTGTTTTTTAAAAGACACTCAAAGAAGGCCTCATCGATTCTTTTATTTAAATATTGCGACAAATAACTATGTTTCTAAATTAAAAAATAGGGCACGTACCATATGTGGCTTACGAGTTTGCGCAGTGTAGGCATTTTTTCTAAGCTTTTTTCTTTAATCGAGTTTAACAGCACCTATGAAATCTAAGTAAGTACGATATGACGAAATGTTTCGTATCATTGTGAATACAACAATTTATACTACTATGTCATTAAATTTCATTAACAATGACTTATATGTTCAAAAGACAAAATCATTAAAATGCAAGGTAGGTACCTTTTGGCGTACCTATGTATATAAAAGCTTACAGAAAAAAAAAAACGATTGGGAAAGAAATTATTAAACAAAAATGGCATTTTCTGCGTCAGTACAAATCTTGGTAAGAATTATTCAAAATAGTATATTGCTTTGGTAACAAATAGTACTGGGAATTAAATAATTAATTTCTAAGCTTTCTGATTAACATGTACTACATATAAAATAAATCATAGCCTTATTATCAATCGAAGTGCTAAATTAAAAAGTAATGTACAATGGGAAAACGAAATACTGTGATGTTTATTAGACTTATTTCCTAAGAAAGAGATCACGATTTCTCTTAGTAGTGCCTATGTCATGTTAAAATAAGGTCATAATTTGGGAAACTATCCTGTTCACCTGTTCATCATTAAAAAAATACAAGTTGGAATGGTGGTTTTCAATACATATTAAGAGAGCATTTATTTTTGTATTATAAGGTAATATACCTGCAAAAGTTGACGGTTAAAAGAGCAAAATAATTAAATATGGCATGGTACAGAGTATATGAAATGAAAACAATAAGGGTAAGAAGAATTTTTTGAAAAAAAAACTATTAAAAAAAAAGAACAATGACAATGTCACTTTTCTTCTTCGAAAATAAAATACTACCACCACTTGAAAACACGTAACATATGTAAAGGTTTAATTTGTGTTTCAAATTGGTAAATCTTGAATAAAACTTGTGAAAGTGCACTGTGCCAGACGTACACTTTTATAAAAGTTAATTTACTAACGATCTCAAATATTGGAATTAACTCTAATGTCAATTTTTAGATAATTAAAAACCAGATTATTTATATACACTCTGCTTACTAAAAGTTGCTGTTTTTTTTGTTTGAAATGAAGTTTGCAATTTCTAAATAAAGTTTTTGGATGGATATTGACTGATTAACTGCATGTTGTGCAAAATTAAATAGGAAAATTTTATAATCTGAAGTAAAAATACTTTTTCTTAGTGCGAAAGTGCAATTTTCATATACATTGGGAAAATATTGATTATTTCTATGATACAACAACGATCATAATGATTTAGTTAAAGCGTGGAATGATTTTTTGATAACAATAAATTTAACTGAGATTATAAAAATTAAACAAGTACCTAAAGTAATAATTTCCAATTTCTTTTGTAAATGTCGCTATCAGTAACCTTAGGAAAAATTGATAAAAATTTTTCTTAGTAAGTACAGTTACGGTAAAGAAGAAAAATTTGCCTTATATATTTCTAAATAATCTTCACCCTGTATCTTATGTAAATGGTTATTCTTTAAATCACACAATGTCACATTCAAAGAAGATCATTTCCAAACCATCACTTTCTTAAAACAACTTCGACAGAGTGCTCTTCGATACTAAATCATACAAATATTTATTATTTTTAGTAACCTTTTTGTCAAAGTACGTATTTAACTTTTCTTTAATGATATTCTAATAGTAATTAGATAAAAGCTGGCATTATTTTGCGGTCTTAGGAAGATGCCTTTTCATGTGCAGTGCAAGATGATCTGATCTTGCAAAAGATCTTTCACATACGGCACATTTGAATGGTTTCGCACCCGTATGCTTTCTGTAGTGACGGGTTAGTTCGTCAGAACGCGCAAACCTCCATTCACAATCAGGCCATTGGCATTGATACGGTTTCTCACCTGAAAACAAAAAAATATTGAAATTAAATATCCTTAAAGTTAACACAAAAATCAATTGATCGGAGAATAGAGCCCAAAATGACATCTAAGAGCCTCCTTAGATTGTTATTGGGGCATCAATTTTCTTTTACATATGTACATCTAACCGGTAAATAAAAAACAGTAAGGCATATAAAACTTAGAGAGTAGAGGATCTAGAGGAAAAATAAATTTTAGAGTTTATCTCCGTTAATTTACTTACAATCCACAAATGCAAATATAACCAGAACTAAGCCAAGTTTTGTATAATATTTAATTGTTGCCAAAATATGTACAACAAATTGTAAACGCCTCTGAAAATATTTTTTTTTTTAAATATTTAGCTCTATTTTAACATCCTTCTGTTGTATAAAAAAATCATCATCATGAAGAAATTACGTCAGTGGCGAATCCATAAGGGAATTATCCCCTCCCACCAAAATTTAATTTAATCTAATAAGTCTGTATCTGGAAATGCCGAATTTTGAAAATCACGTCTAAAAGCTACAATGTTTTCATGCGAATTGGTTTTTTATTGAGGAATAAAATATTTTCTATTATTTCTGGATTCGTTCCTGATAGAAGTATGAATATTACCTACATTAAAAAAAATATATATAGAGGATGTTTCTGAAATAAGTAGCAAACCTACAGGAAGTAATAGAGTACTATAAAACATGAAAATTAAGTAAATGTTTAGTACTCTAAATGTTCACCGTTTTTGTGAAAAACGTATTTGAATGTGCAGGCAAGGTCCGGTCCGGACCTGGTAGAACCACGCAAGGAAATACGAAAATGCAATTCCACATCCTTTCAGCAGGTACTTAGTGATTTGCACGATAAATAATTGTGATATACGCCTCAAAGAGCCTGTTTTTAATACGAGCTCCAATCCATAAAATGTAACACTGTACTATAGATAGGTTTGCCACCTTTTCAGGCTTTACATAAAGTATTTCTCGACTAAAAGGTTAAAAAAAAAAGTACTCGGCATAAAAATAAAGTATTTAATTTTTTGTTTTTAAAAACATATTTTTGGTTACACCTAGCAGCCAGTAACAAATTGCTGTCGCTCTTAAATACATTAATAGCCTCTAAACATGGCAAACAAAGATTTAAGTAAACTAAAAGTTCATTTTTAATTAGCTTTAATGAAGCTTTATTCCTGTCGTCCCACCACTTTGCGTTCATAATAGAGAATACGGAACGGACAGCAAAAGTGACTCTACTTTGAACAGATTAGGGAAATTAGGTTGTTCCGTAAGTATGGCTTGCCATTTTTTTGTGCAATATTATTGATGTAAAAGCACTCTGAATTTCGAATAATCGCTTACAAAATTACGATGTTTACTTAAGGCCTTAAATAAAGTATTTTTGCGTACTTTATGTGTCTTGTAAAGTATAACGTACGCATAGTCGAAATAGAGTACAATACTTTATAATAAAGTACGGGTGGCAACCCTAACTACAGATGGCGTTTATCGCATCATTTGTAGGATTTCATAAAACGCGCTGTTAAGACAGCAGGTAACAGTTAGTTAAATCCCCGTCTGGCAATTTCGACAAAAAACTCCTGACCACTTCAAATTTCTTTATTCGATTATGGTAACGTGCCTATCACTTAGTAGCAAGTTATGCCTGGATTCTACTACCGCGTTATTTGTAGGATTTCATGTATCATTTGGAGTGTACGTACGTATGTATAAATATGTTTATTGGTGTTGTAATATTTTTTTTTCTAATGACAGGATAGGGCTATTAGCGAACCACCCATAAATAAAGATAACGCAGCTTGTCGATAGGCACCTCAACGGTGGTTAAGAAATTCACCTTACAATTAATAACAATTACCTATCTAGAGGATATTAATTTACCTATTAAAGTTTACATAATGTTAATTCTTTTTTCTTTCTTTTGTGTTTTTAATACCATGTAGAAGAATAGTACTGTATATTGATGAACAAAGTAATTATTTAATTATTTTTTACGGTAATGGGCGTTGAAACATTATTATTTGTAGTAGCTTAATAGTAAACTGTTGATGTTTAATAGTTCCATAACCGTAACAGTTTACATTTTCCATCGATGTAACTGCTTAGTTGCTATGTAGAACTTCCGTTCGTTTTGCAAATTTTGTTGTCTCTTAAACACGCTCCTGTACTCACTATGCGATTCCTTATTTCTTAAATCTATTTAAGACCTTCAAAGCTTGCTACTTATTACAGAAGCACCCTGTATGGATGTATATATAAAAATGAAGACATACCTGTATGTATCCTTTGGTGAGCCTTGAGGTGTGAACTTTTCGTATATACTTTCGTACAACCTGCAAAAAATTAAAAATAGAAGACATTACAGGTACATTTTACATTTATTAAAATAAAAAAACTCCTTAGATTTTTAATATTAAAACAATTTTTATAAATATTTTATTACCTATAAAGTCACAGTGATGTATCCGACGTTTTTCTAACTCAGGGTTATTCCTACGGTTATATTTATTACTAATGTTGGTCGTAGTGAGCCTGTGTCCGGATGTGGACGAAGTTTGATGGCAGCCAGGGTTGGGATAAGGAGGTGGTGGTGTGCGCCTTGGTAACGTGCCCCCTGGTGAGCCAGGCTCCGAACTAGGCGGTGTCAGGGGTGAATTATACATCAATCGAGAGATAGGGGGATACAAAGCGTTAACGGGGGCTGCACCTACAGGTGTACCATTGTTGTACTTATACTGTTGAGGATGTGCATTATTATTAGGATGATGGAGCGGTGGTTGAGTGTAATGTTGGGCAGTGGGGGGTGGAGGTTGGGGTTGTTGTGGGGGACTTGTAGGCTGCTGACTGTAAGGAGATGTTGGCGTGCCCATCAGATGAAGTGACGTAGTTGGTTGTTGAAGCACCTGAAAACAAAAAAGTTTTGCATGAATATTGAATGGTATTCTTCAGGACTGACAGATCAGTACCGTGTAAAAATAAATAAATGTAAAACTAAAATACTGGTATGCAAGGGAAGAAAAAGTAGGGAAAGAGCGAATATAAAGATAGGAGGCGAAAAATTAGAAGAAGTGGCTGATTTTAGATATCTACGAAGTCAGATAAGTCAGGACGGAAGGAGTAGTAGGGATATAAAGCAGAGGATAGCGCAGGGTCGTGTCGCCTTTAATAAAAAGAAGTCACTTTTATGTTCGCGAACAGTTAATTTAGAAATTTCAAAAAGGTTGTTAAAGGTGTATGTCGGGAGCACGGCGTTGTACGGGTGCGAAACATGGACAATGGGCGCGGCGGAAAATAAGAGGTTAGAAGCCTTCGAAATGTGGTGTTATAAGCGAATGATGAGGATAACTTGGGAGAAAAGGTTAGAAATGAAGAAGTATTAGAAAGAGTAAGAGAACAGAGGACTATGGAAGTCAATAAGAAATAGGCGAGATAGGTTGGTAGTATACCTTCTCAGGCATGAAGGTCTAGTCAGAGACATATTAGAGGCAGAAGCAGGAGTTACAAGGGGTAGAGGTAGTCCTAGGTTAGATTACTGTTCGCAAATAGTTAAGGATGTGGGTTGTTCTAGTTTTAGGGAAATGCGACGTTTAGCTCAGAATAGGAACGAGTGGAGATACGTGCCTAACCAGTCTTTCGACTGATGACCTTATGATGATAATGATGATTCTTCAGGAATGTGATTTAACGGGATCGATAACTTTGTTGGTCAAAATTATACTCACCTTTTCGGTTTTAATTTCTAAAGGAGACAGCAATGGACTGGGAGTGCAATTGACAACGGCAAGATCTTCGACAGCTTCAAGTTTAACGTGTCCAGTGCCCACAAGCATGTTGGCATTCTCAGGGTCGATATTCTGTATACTACTTGCTATATCTTCCCACAAGGGGGGTCGCAAAAAGACATCATCGTCTGCACTGGTGAGGGTTCGCATGGAGACGTAGCTCATATTGGCTTGCTGCTGGGGCGAAGGACGAGTGTTGTTGTTATTGTTATGTACAGCAGCCGCCTCGAAGAAGTCATCTAGTTGCGACGCCGATGGCTCCCGTCGCGACGGCTTGTCCAGTTCTTCTTCCAGGCGACGCTCCCACTCTTGCTTGCAGAGGAAGGTGTCCAAGTCACTCGTCTGAAATAAAATATGAACGTTTAATATCCATGTGTAAATTGAAAGGGCAAATTGACTGGCAGCTGTAGAGAGTTGAAATTTTGCACAGGAAAAGATTGTAAAAAATTCAACCTCTATAGGACTGAAAAATGAATTTAAAATTTAATGTATCAAGCCCGAACAGCTGAATCAAGAAGTTCATCTTTTGATAAGGAAATGAAAGAAGTAAATCGACTTTGATTAAAGTATTAATCGTAGGCAGGGGTGCAACAACGTTACAATTTGACTTGCATTGTATTGGAAAAATCGAGTTCGACCACTCTCATCATAATACTATAAGTGACTAAAAAAAAGTCATTTCGGCGAGCTTGAACTATTTGAACCGAACTTTCAAGGGTTATTACCTGAATCGACTGGAATTGACTGGGTGTCTTAACCTAATCCAATCGAGTGGGTGCCCGGGCACCCGCGGAGAGCCCCCCTTGTTGCGCCCCTGATCGTAAGTCTCAAAAGTAGAATCAGAATCAGAAGATTGCCGTCAAAGGCGTATTACTTATTCTTTCTTTTTTAAGAGTAAAGTAAAACTGTTAGTTAAAGAGTTAAATAATAGGTAGTATTTAGTAAAACACAAAATACCTGGTTTGGTGAGACGAATCATTGAGAAAATAGCGAATTCGATGTGAAATAATGTAGAAGTTTTCTTAAAATCTTGTAAATTTTAGAAATACAATTATTGGTTTTGTATTTCATTAATTTTCTTGTTTTTAATGTTTGAAGTAATTCTCTTGTGTAGGGCGTTATGCAGACGACAAATGGGGAAGAATGACAAATGATTGTCTTTGTGAATACTTTCATCCCCACGGAGTTACTTGTGTGCTGTTTAGGTTGTCATAATATTATCATACAATGAATCAAGGGGTGCCGTCCCCCGGAGTGTATTTTTCGGTCGGTTAGGTTCAATAAATAATTTGAATTGTAAGCTGTCTTTTTTTCTTTTAAATGATTTTAATTTCAGATACAGCAATAATTAATTTTTGTTTAAAACCCAGATAAGCACACACATTGGTTGCAAGTTAATAAAAGCAACAAGAAGGAACTGAAAATTAGCATAATATCTTTAGAACATGCAAATATAAATCAACTTTTCATTAAATTGGTCACTATAAATATATCTGTATAGTGGAAGATAACAAAAGCTATATAATTTTTTAGTGAAATAGTTCTTAAATAGAGTTTAACATCTTAATAGCAAATATAAACATTATTATATATAGATAAAAGAAAATCTAGTCGCAAATAACGTATGAACATATAAATATTTTTTCTAATATCAACAGTTTGTTGTATCCGAAACCTTACCTGTTTATAAAGTTGCATATACTACAGGACAAGAAAAATATCACAACTGGGTTACCCGCTTGATTGATCATTAAATTCTCTGGCGACAATTTTACAAATAACAAATTCAAGAACATTAAGGTATTACCATTATTAGAGAAAATAAATTAACAGTAACTTTTATTTTGTAATAACTGCTGTTCCCTGTTCCTAAAGATAATTTATACAGAAAAGCAAATGATCAATTAATTTTATTACAACGTTAAAAACGAAGTCGGAACTCATATGTCTTTATTTAGCGAACATGGATATGCAGTAATGTGTTAAATTGGGGTTCCAAATGTCAACAAAAAGGTTTGAATGAATTTTTGTACCTAATGCGGGTAGCTAAATCTACTCATACATGATTGAAATATGGACAAGGACGTATTTGGTTTTTTATCGTACAATGAAAAAATTAAAAAACAAAATTATTGGGTGTGCTAAACGCTAAACTTCGAATAAAGTTCCGCGAAACATATAGGTAGGTACTATAATAGTTTTTAAATAATTTGTGGTAGAAGGCTTTACTTGTTGAAATTCCACAATCAATTTGGTAATTCTTTTAAAACTTAAAAATTATCATTAATAGTGTGTTTTTCCTTTAATAAATGTTCTGCATATGTAGAATCAGCTTTCCCATTAGTATAGCTCCTCCTGTGTTCTGTAATCCTTTGATTGAAGGATCTCTTTATCCTACATAGACTTAATTACAGTCCCCACATTCCAATAAATAAACTCCAGATTTTGATCCTTTATCAGTTATATCTTTATTACGTTTTATAAATTTGGTTAGCGTATTACTGGCTTTAAAGGAAGTAACTCTATACATTGTTTGCTTTTTTTTAAAGAATAACCAAAAAGTCAAAAATTAAACCTAGCTGAATGTCTTTAAGTGTATTTATAAATACAATAAATTAGATATTTTACTAAATAATCAAATTGATCTATATAGTTCTCTGTTATTAAATTTAAATTTGTCATCAAAAATTTAAAGTCTTACCGTGTCTCTCCCTTTCGTTGTTCCCACCCCATAAAATTTCTAAACTTTTAGTATTTATGCTAATTTTGTAACAATTTTAATCCGAATATCTTCATCTGAAGAAGCCAATGTTATAGTTAAACAATTATTGTGAACAATTAATATATATTTTTGAAANTTCTTTTTCATTAATTGACTATGGTTTTTGTTTTCTAATACATAATAAAACATGAAAAGTTTTAGTAAAAAGTATTTAAACCGTTTTAATATTTATTTTTTAAATACCTCGACTATCATTTGAGAAAAAACGTGAACGTAAACTGACGCCTACAAAAATAAGCCGGTGGCATTTTTAGATGGAATCGCGATAAGTGGTACCATATGTCCCGTACGTTTCGGACATTGAGCCACTCTGTCTCTGTCTGGCATCAGGAAAATAATACGAAAACGATAAAAGACGAGACGACGAAGTATAATAGAATCTTTGAGTAACGATCCACGAGGCAACTTAAGTCCTTCGGTTGACCATGAATGGCGGTTATGAATGAACGTGTTTACTAAATGTAAGATAACTGGAAACGGACAGAACAGGAAATAAACTGTGTGGAATCTCGTCTTGCGGGCCCACTTGTTGTAGGTACTACCTCAAAGAAGCAGTTTTATTAAACACAAGCATCTCTATATACATATAACGTATCTTATACGTACCTATATGTGTAGATTGATGAACAGCGTGCATGCATTTTATAGCAATATGGACATTTATAATTTATAAATTGTTTTCAAAAATTTTGCTGAGCTCAGTGTGTTACATAAAATACAAGCCTTTGGGATGCCCATCTAATGAAAACTTTTCGATATCATCAAAAAGCAATAAAGTACTAAATTAATTAACAATAGAGCATTGTATTACAATACAAAGTTACAATTGTGTTGTTACTGTTTAAAAGTTCTTAGCAAAATACCAGAAATTCTCCAAAATATTGTATTATTAATGACCTATTAGCAAAATCTTGGGACGGAAAAAAATTTTAGGAAATATGGGATTTATTTACTGCAGTGTTTTTCAATCTGTGGGTCGCGACCCTCCTAAGGTCCTTAGGAGGGTCGCAAAGCCTTACTGGGGGTGTCGCCAGGCAAAGTTCTACACTACAATAAAAACACAATTTCAGTGAGAAGGGTGGGCTTATTTATTTCTCAAATATTTGAAAAATCATGGTGCTATTTTTGAAACGTTAATAATCAAATCATTTTTTAATTGAATTTCTCTTTTTAGTTTTAATGTCCACGCTGCTTTATAAGTCCGAGGTAAGTTATTTACATTCAAACCTCTGGTGACCTTTTGCAGACTGTAGGTCTTAATACTATATAATGAATACTTATACTAAACTGAAAAAAAACATAAACGTGGACTTTTTAATAATTAACTTTTTGCTTGTCTATAGCCCAAGAGGGTCGCCAGAATTTTTTAACCTGTAAAGGTGTAAAAGGGTCGCGTATTCAAAAAGATTGAAAATCACTGATTTACCTACAGTAAAATCTTTGAAAAGTTTCGTTAATATTATTGTGCCGTAGAATTTCGGATGTAAACAAATAAAGGGAGTGTTATCCAATAGTAGACCGACTATGTTGGCAGTCATCATCATCATAAGTTCGTCAATCCTATAGACTGGTTGGACACGCACCTCTACTCTTTCCTATCCTGCGCTAATCTTTGCATTTCCCTAAAGCTAGAGCAACCCATATCCTTAACTATTTGCGAATAGTAATTTAATCTAGGTCTACCTCTACCCCTCGTAACCTCTGTTTCTGCCTCAATATGTCCGGCTAGACCTTCATGCCTGAGAAGGTGTCCTACCAACCTATCTTGCCTATTTCTTATTGACTTCCAAAGAGTCTTCTGTTCTCTTACTCTTTCTAATACCTCTTCATTTCTAACCTTTTCTATCCACGGTATCCTCATCATTCGCCTGTAACACCACATTTCGAACGCTTCTAACCTTTTTTTCCGCCGCGCCCACTGTCCATGTTTCGCTCCCGTACAGCGCCGTGCTCCAAACATACACCTTTAACAACCTTTTTCGAATTTCTAAATTAACCGTTCGCGAGCATAGAAGTGACTTCTTTTTATTGAAGGCGGCTCGAGTCTGCGCTATCCTCTGCTTTATGTCCCTACTACTCCTTCCTTCTTGACTTATCTGACTTCCTAGATACCTAAAATCGGCCACTCTTCTTCTAATTTTTCGTCTCCTGTCTTTATATTCGCTCTTTCCCTACTTTTTCATCCCTTGCATACCAGTATTTTAGTTTTACTTTTATTTATTTTCATACAGTACTGTTTTGTCAATACTGCTTCCATTTTATTTAAAGCTATATCTAACTCCTCCTTGCTGGATGCTAATACTGCAATATGACAGCGGAAATCCAGCAGAATGTGACCAGCATATTAATTATTCTAGATTGCCGGATAACGTGAACAACTTAACTAAAACGTAAAAATAAAAGTAATTTTCTAGTTTTTGCATCCCACAGCATAAATAATTCTATTAATAAATTTCGAGAAAGAAATAAAAAGTGGAAATTTTACAACCAACATTCCAGAAAACAGTGGCAAAAGTACCGAGGTAATTTTGTAATAACACAAAATCTCTGTAATTCCTTT